TTTTTTTTTTTTTTTTTTTTTTTTTTTTTTTTTTTTTTTTTTTTTTTTTTTTTTTTTTTTTTTTTTTTTAATAATTTTTTTCTTTTTGTTAGAGAAAAAGCGATTAATTAAGAATTTTAACTTTAGGTCAGTTGTAACGACTCGTGCCCAAGATTCAGATCAGGATTCGGAATCCAGATTCGACACCTGATTGTCCCAGTATTCTCGCTTCTTAAGAGTAAAAATTATCCGCACAGACCAACACAACCATAAGACAACTAACTCAGGGCATACATGGTGTCACAGTCATGCTCGTCCAAGGCATGTTGCCCATGGCCGCATGCCCATGACAAGCCCAACCCTTTATGTCTTTTCATATTCTAGTGTTTTACTTTTATATTTATAGAAAGTACGACGTTTCAGAAATATTATGTCTAGGCCTGTCAGACATGAAATGACTCAGAATGTATTATAGGGGGATACCACTAATTGTCAACTTCTCCCTACCCAAGATTATATACCGTGAGCTGTTGTTATTTCTCTCTTGCTTGCTTATATAACGTCTCTTTCAAAAATCTCTCTCTGCCTTCGTTTTCTAAAACCTTCTCTTAAAACCGAGCTCAGAGGCTCGAGCATACGTCGCTTGGCCGTAGGCGACGCAAGAACGAATTGGCTTAGCTCACTTGTCGTTGGAAAGTGAGTGCCGCACAATCGCAAGTACGCTGCCATCAAAAGTGCGATTGTGACACATGGCTCATGCTCCCCCTTGATTGCCTATGAGAGGAATTGACTTTGCACACGTTCCTTATAGGTTTGAGCATTTCATGTTTTTTTGAGTTGATTTAGGTCATCACAATCCGATTTTCGAGACTTCGACAAATCAAATCGTGATGAAAAGGAGAACACAAAATTGGTATTCTAGTTATTTACAAATGGAAAAAGGGTGCGGGAAAAAAAATCAGTACAAACAACAACCCAAAAGAGAGAGAAAATAACATTGACGTTCTGGGTCGACATCCCCCTGTGACAGTGCAGCTCTCGAGCACCTCCCCACCTTGATCGGTACCTAAAAAAGAAAAGAAAAGATGGGTGAGTATAAAACACTCAGTAAGCAGTCTACATGTAGGCTCTCATCGCATCCTAAACCTAATATGTTTCCACGGGCTTGTCATAGGGTGCTAAGAAATTCGGCCTAGTTCAGGTATCCTCTGAATGTTACCTCACACCATATTGGTATCTATCATGAGCTAATTTATTTGTGTACCCTCATCTCCTCCTAGAGTGAGTTTCCTCCACACACAATAGTAGCTCCTCGATATACTATTTATTTAGTCTATCGTCCATTCTCAGACAGATTTATTCTACACACAATAGTATATCCTCAATCAACTACCTGTGTAGTCCCTTGTCCCTGTCTCATGTAGCCCACTTATGTAGTCCATCGTCCCCTCTCAAGGCAGGTTATCATACATTCAGTGGTAGCTTATCATATCGTCTACTCCTATTAAGGCGAGTTATACTCTACATGCAGTAGCGAGTCTTCGGGTTGCTATTTATGTAGTCTCTCGTCCCTCATCAAGGTGGGTTCTATCTTACATACATAGTGACTCCCCAAATAGTTCCATTCGTGTTATCATCGATCTTATGTCTTCTCGTAGTTCATCTTGGGTATCATGGAGATATATTAGGTTCTAAGGCGTCTAGGTGGATTAGGTTACAACAAACGTTTTCAGGTCGCTCGGGGTTAACTCCTTGTCCCTAAGCCAAATCTTAAGGTACACATAGGTCTCTGATCGTCGCTCACGATTCCAGGGTACTCAGCGTACTAAAAACGTTTTGACCTAAGATGTTGTATAACCACTTTGGTTTTATCGCCTTACTCACTCTGATACATGCAGGCTTTACTAGGGTGATATTCTATCGATCACATGCAAGTTTAATAAAGGAATATTCCTATTGATCAAGTAAGCACAAATAATTCCTACGTACATTTATCTAAATCTAGCATACAATTTAATTATACAATTCAAACATACTCAACGGGGAGATAACGTCCATCTAGCACCCGTAGGACATATCACAATATTACCATCCTCCATAAACATTTAATAGACATGCATCATCTGTTCTCATACAAGGGCATTTCCGTAATTTTCCTTTACATACGTGAACACCTATTCAAATTTGCTTATTTAAGTTCTAAACGTGCATATCCTAACCACCTAATGTAAGATAAGCTACCATGCTAGCATGTCCTAGCGATTTCTACAAGCTTTCCATATAAAGGGTGTGGGACATCAAAATACACCGGCCCAGTAGATATTGTCGTCTTTGGACTTTCCATACTCTTATAAAGGTGTTTTGTTCTCCTCCTCAATTGTTGGTTTTTTTTTTTCTTAATCTCATATTAATTAATTTATTGATGTTTTGACGATAAGAAACCTACTTTTAATTATTAACCATTTTCAATATTTTCAACCGTCCACAGTATAAAGTTGGTGAATAACGATTTCAACGACTTTTTAATCACTCCAATCAGAGCTGAAACGAAGATATTACCGTCAAGACAACATACCCGATGTGATGATGTGGCAGCTAAATCAAATTGATGGATAAATCAAAATATGACACTTTATCATTTTGGAAGAGAACAAATTGGGGAGTTTTTCTTATTATTATATTTCTAAATAAAATTATTTTTAAATAATATAAATTTAAATCTAACCGTTACTTAGATCGATTTTTATTATTACTGTATTATAATATTATATTATTATATTTTAAAATTTTGATGGTTACTCACGTACTTTTTATTATTATATTTATAATAAATTTTGAATTTGTCATTTGATCTTCACTCACATTGGTTTTTATTATTTTTATATTATATTATTATTATATTTAAAAATTAAATAAATGAATTTGGAAAATTTTCTTATTTATTTACCTTTTAATCTCCCGACACAATCCAATGGTCAATATTAATTTCTACTTTTTGCCACTTTTCTTCTCTATATAAACTCATTAACTTCCCCCATACACAACTTCCATAAATTCTTCAATCCTCATGTGTTCAATGTCTCCATTTTGGTTGCTCTCTCCAATCTTCCAATTTTATTTTTATTAATCTTATTCTTGAGAGATTTTTTTATTCTATTGTGAGAAAATAATTGTGAGTGCTTTAAATCGTAAATCTATTTGAGAGAGTTGTGGTGTGTTACTACCAAATTCAAATACTTGTACTAGTTTGATTCTGCACCGTGGAAAGGATTGAGTTTGCTCTTGAACTTATAAAAAGAGTGGTATAACGGTTTGGCTCTGATCCGTGTAAAGAGTCAAGAAAGTTCCTTATTCAAATTTCCAACTGGTGCTTGGGGAGTGGAGTAGGTCGAGTTTGACCGAACCATATAAAACTATAGTGTCACATTTTCTAACTCTTTCCTATTTAATTTCAAAATTATTATGGTGATTTATTGCATGTTCTAGTTGATTATTGTTTTGACTTGAATTATATTATTCTAGTAATTATCATCTTTACTCCTCCGTAAAAAGTTTCATAATTAGAAAAATTAATCACGTTTAAATATTAAAATCCTATTCACCCCTCTAGGGTTGCCATACCAATTCAACAATTGGTATCAGAGCGGGTTGCTCTTGTAGATTTTTTATATAAACTTTATTGTTTGAGCTCATGACAAACTTGTAAAAATATATTTTACCTTCGAAAATGTAAAAAAAATTCTTAAGTCTTTACCTAAAAGTTGGAGGCAAAAGTGACGGCGATTCAAGAAGCAAAAAATGCTTCATTTGGATGAACTTATTGGTTCTCTCATGACACATGAGATTATATGAAGGGGCACGAGAAGAAAAATCCAAAAAGAAGAAAAGTATAGAGCTCAAAATATGTTGTGATTAAAAATAAATATAAGACTTCAATAATTGAAAATAAATCTTTGGAGTCTTTTATTAAATGATTTTTTTTTTTCATAAAGGATAACGATCATAATATTGTTAAAATTGATGTACCTTCTTATGAAAAACATATATTTGATTATAATGAGAAAAATGTATTAATTGATAAAGGTTAAGTTTGTTGAGTATATAAATTAATTAAATTGCTCAAACAAAATGAATCAAATAATTTGCAAGAACTTGATTAGGGCTAATAGTCTATTACACTGTAACGACTCAGATCTACCGCTAGCAGATATTGTTCTCTTTGGACTTTTCATTGTGGGACATCAAAATACACCTTTTTTTGGTGCCCAGCACATGTTGTCCTTTTTGGGTTTTCCCTTTCGAACTTCCCCTCAAAGCTTTAAAACGCGTCTCCTAGGGAAGGTTTCCATACCTTTTGTAAAAGGTGTTTCGTTCTCCTCCCCAACCAATATGGGACATTACAATTTAGGTTTCAAAAATTCATGTTATACGGACATCACAATAATTCAATTCACCTAACCTCCAACAACATCACAATAATTCAATTCAATTAGCTAAAGATACAGACTATTTCAACTTTGTCTTTAATCATTTTAAGAGTAAAATAAAGTCGATGTTACGCGAGATATTAAGAGTTTTCCATTTATGAACAAACATATTCTTTCATCCAATTATAACCATTAATTTATTTTTAAAATTAATTAATAAAATCTAATTTCACTTTTAAAAAATTATATGTTTAGAGAACTATCTACTTAATTTAACTAATAATAATTAAAAAAATATATAAAATTTTTATATTTGAGCTGTAACGTCATTTTAGTATAAATTTTTTGAAGAATAAAAAAATTAAAAAAATTAATAATGGAAATTTATTTTAAAAATTAATTATTTTGATTTAATTTATTGGATTTTTAATTATCTCTGTTTAATTGGTACGTTGATGCAGACAGAAAAGGACGGAGATTTTATAACAAGCGAGGACTTTTTTGTAATTTCCGTTTTTCCTTTTTGGAAATAATTAGTGATTTTTTTTTAAATTTATTTCCTCGTCCTTTTGCTCAACTGTCCCTACGTACCATGTGACCCTTTCAATTATTTTATTGAATATATTTCTTTTTTAATTATTTATTACTAAAATTTATATTTCTTTTCTTATAATTTTTAACTTAATTTTAAATTTTAGATTTTGAGAATGTTTATTTTAAAAAATTAAATAATTATCAATTGAGCTTTTGTACGACCAATCAAAATGAAATAAAAAAGATAATATTGTCTAATAGTCCTTTTCGACAAAGGTTATTCTTTGAAACGGAACAGCAACCTAAAGTCGTGCACGTTTACGCCGTTCTATATATGCTTAATTTTCAATTGAATAAACAACTAAATTATTTAGATTTTTTTTAAATAAAATTTTGTTTTACTTGAATATTGAAAAAAAATATATTATAGAACGAAAAAGTTAGCGTCTTATAAAACACCTAAGGTTTTCACACCCTTCTAAAGGGTGAAAGGGTCTTTTGTTCTTCTCCCAACCAATGTGGGACTGTCACAATTCACCCCTTTAGAGCCTAGTGTCCTTACTGGCACACCGCCTCGTGTCTACCATTTTCGAGCAATAGCCTCCTCGCTAGTACATGGTTCGACGTCCGGCTTTGATATCATTTGTAATGACCCAAGCCCACCGTAGATATTGTCCTCTTTGGGCTTTTCTTTTCGAGCTTACCCTCAAGGCTTTAAAACGCGTTTGCTAAGGAAATATTTCCACACAAGGGTATTTCGTTCTCCTCCTCAACCAATGTGGGACTCTCACAATTCAACTCCTTCAGGGCCAGCGTCCTTACTGGCACACTGCCTTGTGTCAACCCCCTATGCCATGTGTCTACCCTCTTCAGAGAATAGCCTCCTCGTTGGCATATGGTCCGGTGTGTGGCTATGATACCATTTGTAATGACCCAACCCCACCGATAGCTGATATTGTTCTCTTTGGACTTTCCCTTTCGTGCTTTCACTCAAGGCTTTAAAACATGTTTGTTAGGGAAAGATTTCCACACAAGGGTGTTTCGTTCCCCTCCTCAACCAATGTGAGACTCTCACATAACATTTCTCTATTTTTACATGAGGATTATTTTCTATCATAGTTGCAAGAGTTCCAAATCTTAACTATAATATATTGTACTAAAAGCTTCTTTCGGTTGGCTAAACAAGAGGGTCGAGCAGATGTATCGTAGCTCCTACAGTTCCTGCACCTTGCGTGGCATCTCCCAAAAAGGTCAAGCATAGGTATCTCGCTTGAGAAACCTAGCTCGTTCAAATGAACATCTACAACTAAAGAGAATGGACTCTCAACTACCGAGTGAAATAATCTTCTAATACGAGGACGAGTGATTAGTCAAATCATGCAGGGACTATCATGTAAAAAATTTCAGGGGTTACAATTCTCTTATACTACCATTAATCCTGTCGTGATCTTGACACGCTCACAACAAGCTTTAAGGAGAATTAAACCCCATATATATTTTTCGCCCCGACTTTGTGGCTTCGTCGGACCTTAGGCAAGGTTTGTCATTGCCAATCGAACATCGCTTATGCGGAATCCAAGCTTGTTTAACCACACACGCTGCCTGCGCGTGCATGTTTAATCGTCTGCGACACATCCAACTTGCCTCTACACTAGGCCAAGTCATTTAGCTCGACTTTGCCTCTGCTCGAGGCCAAGGTCTCTCAATGCAACTCGCATCTCGATCCCCATCGACGAGGTCCATATGTCTTGATGCCATCTAGAGAGATCTAAACTACAGTAAATCAAATAATAAAATAATAACATTAATAAACTTATAAAATTAAAAAGTACAAAAAAAAAAAAAAAAATCATCAAAATAATTCCCAAAAATACCCAATATTTTTATAAATAATTTTATTTTTCCAATATAATTTCTATTAAAAATGTAAAAATTATGATAAATCTACCGACAGAATTTCTAAAAATTTAAAATCTATTTTTTTATAAGATTATAAAAATTAAAAAATTTATTAACTAAATTTGTAATCCCTAATTTTATTTTTTAGTTTTAATTAAGGAAAAGCCAACCATTGTTGACTAAAATTAAAAGAAATAAATACAAAACCTTTTACATTTTCCAACCGAAAATGCTAAGAAAGGAAGCATTTAAAAGTGCCAAAAAAGGGAAATAAAACAAAATAATTAAATTACAGCGTGTAAAGTGAATTTCATTTATTATTATTTTTAGTTAAAAAAACAATATTTTAACAAAATTTAGAGTTAAAAAAAAAATATATTTTTTATAAATTTAGCAAAATTTTAAATTATTAAAATTGTAACTAACAAAATTAATAAATTACCAAATTTTCCCAACTTCGGAACAGAAAACGACAAAAGAGCATTTTAGAGCGAAAAAAAAATATATATATATATATATAAACAAAAGCCCACTGTAGTGTTCTGTAGACTCTTGAGAGTTCAGAGCTTGGGTGAAGAAGACGAGAGTGAGTTGAGTTTTGCTTCTTCATTCTTGAAAGCTTCGAATCTCTACCATTTTTTGTTCTCCTTCTTGGAGGAGGAAGCTGCCTCAGAAATGGATTCCGTGTCCGTTAGAGCCTATCGAAGTCATATTACTCTTGCCACAGGTATGCCGTTTTTTTTCCTTCAAATCCAAGTGGTTTGAGGCTGTTTCAGTTTAGTTTAACCTTAGATTTCTCCATTGGATGTTTAGCTTCTTGTTTTAAGCTTGTTTCTGCTTGTTGATTGGTGCATTTTTGTTATCGAGCCTGGTTTTAGTTTTTATGCTTTGTTTTCATTTGCGCTTGGAGAGAAACTCGATGATGTTCTCGCGATACTCTTGGTATTTCTTGATTGAAGCTGATTCGAGTTTGATTTGTTTGATTTGCTGGTTCTGATCGACAGGTGGAATTGGAAGCGGCTGGACGAATCGTGACGTCAACAATGTTTCGCTTCCAAGTACGATCAATTTGTCTTTGAATATTAATTTCTTTGCTTTTATCGCTTTCGTTTCTCGGCTTTTCTGTTATCCTTTAATTCGTCAGTGCCGCACGCAGCTTCCTTGTCATTTTTGCTTGATTTTTCTGATTTCATGTTTGGTAGCGCAATTGACAAAAGACTTTGTTGTTGATTGTTCAAGTTGGATGAATTGAACCAGCGGAAGAGATTATCCGGGCGGCGGGCATCCAAGGGGCTATTTGAGAGTTGAATTTTAAATTTAACAACGATTTAAAAAAGAAAAAAAGTTAGAACAATAATTTCAATCGTATAGCCAACTTCAGTCTTAGCCAGATACTGAGTCGTAATTTTATAAAATTTAATTTGGAAACTATTATATAAGATAACCTGCCAAGTGCCTATTGGTCTTATAAGTCTGAAGGCGGAGAAATTATTCAAGGCGGCATAAGCGTCGGTGTCAATTAAATCTCTGGAAAATGCGTTTTGCTCTCAGAAAATTCATTTTAAAACGAAAATTTGAAATTTCAATTCTGGGAATTACTGCTTTTGTTTATTATGGTTTTTACCTTTTCTTTTTGCTAAGTTGATAATATTTCTATGCGAAATATGATAATAATATGTAACTTAACGAATAATTTTATATATTTTTACTCATATTTCGACAGATCTTAGTAATAAAGGTTCACTTCAAGAACATAATAGAAAGAACGAATCATTTAACTTATAAGAATCTGCTTATTATATTTTTCACAGCTACCTGTATTATTTGATATCATTGGAAACCCAGGACTTTTTTTTTTTTTGATAATATAGATGTAGAATATTCATTAAATATCAATTGTTATCTTAATACTTGTGCAGTCTCATTGAATCTTCCTCCAGTCAAGGTTTCATTTTCTGAAAAACAATTAGAATTCATAATTTATTTATTTATTCGTTTCTTTTTGTTAGCCTTATTGTGTGGTTATGTACTTTAATCAATGTTGGGGGGCGTTCTATAACTTCTTTGTCTTTGGTTGGAGTTATCTTACCTCTTAGCTATTTTTCTTCTAAATATCAGTTATTAAAGAAATTTTAAAATCTTAGATCTACTAGTTATTGTAGATTTTCACCTTTTTCTTAGAAGATGAGATATTTACCCTTATTTGAATGGTAGCTCTGAAGAGGAAATATGAATAACTGAACATTACGAATGTCCTTGAATAAGAAATTCTATCTTTGATCTTCCAAATTTTGGAGAACGTTGCACCCGAACTACCAAATATCATTATCTGGTGTGATTGACACAAGTAAGGCACGTTTGGTAGTCTATGTCTGCATGTTGGGCCATTGAAAAGAGTGCTTGGATGCGAGATGTTGGCCTTTTGTCACTGACTGGTGGCCCATGACATGCCGTAATTTTGTTGCAAGTCCCTTACCGAAAATGAAACTAGAGAAAAGTGGAGGATGTGAGAGACAAAAATAGGAAAGATGATATATCATTGAATGCCCACGTGAGTATTCTCTGTATGTATATTTTATATAGTCTGTGTCATAAGAGTGGGAAGATTCGAATCAATTTTAAGGAAATATCTTCACGTTTATAGAGTGGATTTTATAAATACTGAGATCAGAGACCTTCAGGATCTGCAAACAGATTCTTGTAGTAGTCACTGAATCTGAGACATTATTATCCCATACTTGAGTAAAGCGCACTCCAAATGGGCTTGTTTTCTTCCCAATTAACGCCCATGTGGCCTGGGCAGTGTAGCATGCCAAGGATTTATGGAGAATTAATCTTTCCAACTCTTTTCTAGACTCTGACTTAATAGAGTAAGAATCTATTAGTCCTTGAATCTGCCATTCTTTCACCCATTTTAGTCCAAGTGAAGTTACCATTGACATGATGGAGTCTTTGACAAAGATCAATTGATTGAATTTCCTCCTACTCTTTGTAATTCTAGTAGTGATGTCTCTCAGCCATCCATCAGACAACATTGAAGTCATCAGCCACACACCACCTTCGTTGGCAAAGACCCACTTAGTCATAAAGCCTTTTCCAACCGTTAGTCTACCCCCCTAGAGAACATTTCTCTTTGAATTAGCAAGTATCTTCTTCCCCTTCTCCACCACAGGGTCCCAAAAGGAAAGAGAATTTCTGTTATGGTAAGGAGAGTCCCAAGTAGGATGAAGGGAAAAAGGCAATCTCGCAACCCATCAGGCAATCTAGCTTAGAGTATCCTCAACAAGCAAGGAGAGAAAAGGGGAAGAGGATCATCCTGTCTCAAGCCTCTCACGACATGAATCCTCTCCTTGGGTCTACCATTAATGAGAATAGAATATATAACCGTTTTGAGTCCTGCATCTGCACCCATAACTTTTCTTTTCAAAAAATTCCTGTTCACATGGTCATAGACCTTCTCAAAATCGATTGAACATGACTCCCACTTGACACAACTTTGATACTTCTCGTTAACCTCGTTAGCAATGAGAGCCCAATCAAGAATTTGCCTTACCTCAATAAAAGTACCTTGGGCCTTACAGATCGTAGAAGAAAGCTAGAGCTTTGGCAATGATCTAATAACACTCATAACCAGACTAATGGGTCTGAAATCCTTAACCCTATTTACACTTCTTTAGGGATGAGGCAAACAAAGGTTTCATTGAAGGAGTTACCCAAGAGACTTCTTTCAAAAGAATCCTTAAACACCCGCTCCAAGTCCTCTTTTAAACCCTTCTAATTATCCTTAATAAAGGTCATGAAGAAAACCGTTGATATTTGCATCCTAGCTTGAGGTGGAGTGTCGTTGTGGATGATCCCTTGCTAGCTGGCTTATTCTTTAAATAGTTTTTTCCTCTCTTTTTCCAGCGCATTTGCATCTCTCTCTTTTTTTATTTGTTTATTTATTTATTATTATTTATATATTTTTTCTAACTTTCCTCTTATGTTTTCTTTTTTCTGGTTTTCCCCTTCCTACTGGACTGTATAATTGTATTTTTTTAACTAGTTGTTTTACCACTGTATTCATGAGATCAATCAAATGAATAGAGAGTATTTTTCCACCCCATCTTCACTGAAGGAACTATTTATGTCTTTCGGTGAGCATTCTAAGTTAAGATGGATTGCTTCCAAAACCTAGTAGTTCTAGCTGTTTCATAGTCTGGGGTGAAGTTCTTTGTACACAATTCTCATTGCTAGGCAGAGAAGTTTTTCGTAATCCACTTTGGGTGGTTGGCAGGCCGCCCTTCCTTTCCTTTTTGCATCATTTCATTCCATCATTGAAATTCTGTTTCTTCGTCTCCTTCTTCAAGTCATGGATTGAGTATCTCATTTGGAGCAGCTCTTATCTCAACACTTGGAAATCAGGTTAGAGGTGACACTATCATGTCCTTTTGGTTGCATGGTGGTCCCTTTTACTAAAAAGTTCTTGATGGTCTCAACATTTTAGTAATAAAGAAAGAATAATAGAATTGCTCGGTGTGAGCTATTCTTTGACTTATTAGGAAAGAGGATTTTTGAAAACAAAGATGACTTCGGTGAATTCTTTTTGTAGAAGAGGATAGTGTTCTTGGTGGTGTTCAAACCACTAAAGATTATTGTATATCTCTTGGTTGCAATTATGGCTCTTATGCTTTCTGGTCTGAAAACAATAGCATAATTGTTTAAAAGGATAGAGGCAGAGAATGCTTGCTCATAAATTCCCATGTCACAATTGAAGGTCCCAGGCCTGGTGCACTGAAGAATTTTAAATGGCACTGTTGCGCGAAATTTGAATCTGAATCACATCAACTAGGGCAAAGACATACCTTCTATCAGAAGAAAGACAACATAATTCAAGTTAGAAAAGCAGCCTCTAATCAGCCTTTCGAATCTGATTCTGAAGTTTTAAGTTCCAAAAACTTTGATGGCTCTGTAAAGAGTTTCTTGGATGCTTTCTACAGGTTCTCACGGCCACACACAGTTATTGGTACAGTTACGTTTTAAAACAAATGTCCTTTTAGGCCAATAACTTATTCTTTACTTCCATTCTTTCTGAGATATTCATCTTCAGCTTACACCTTACTTTTGTGCTTGCAGGCGTTGAGCATTGTATCTGTTTCTCTATTAGCAGTTGAGAAGTTATCAGACTTGTCACCATTATTTTTAACTGGAGTGTTGGAGGTAATGTATCAAGCGAGCGTTCTAATTTGAGTTTTTGAGGGCGGTTGTATATTATTAACACATTTGCAAACTTTTTTCCAGGCTATAGTTGCTGCCCTCTTTATGAATATTTACATTGTAGGTCTCAATCAATTATTTGACATCGAAATAGACAAGGTACTTCATATATATTTATTTTATAATATTTTAGTAAACTAGGTCCGCAAAGCTTTATTATTTTTTCTCCTGGAACTTGAGAGAGTATCTTATGGGTAAATTTCTATCAGAACATATTGGCAGGCATGGTTTTGGACCTGTTTTTACATTGAAAACGTTTCTGGTAGAGTATATTGCCCATATGATTTTGTGTAGTGATCTCCTTATTGGACACATTACCATAATCCTTTTAATTTACTAGTGTGAGCATTTCAAAGATAGATTTTCTTTAACATGTATCCTTGATGTATCCGTGGAAGTGCCATGACTGTGCAGGCCAAGCTATCATATGATATTTACTGGATACTGTTTGAATAACAATAAAAGCGAAGCTCGCTATATTCTTCCTAATAGGCATCAAAGAAGACTTCCAGCTTAACCATTCCTGTATGTTCCTTAATTGCAGATTAACAAGCCATATCTTCCTTTGGCGTCAGGAGAATATTCTTTTGGCACAGGCGTTGCGATTGTCTCCACATTTTCCATTCTGGTATTACTTATTATGTATCACATCATTTGCAAGATCCCTGTTGAATTTTTGTTTTATATATATTTTTGGATTTTATTTGAAGCATTTTATAAATAGAAATGTATATACTAGGTTTTTTTAGTACAACAAGTGGGTTTTTTTTTTTTTTTTTTAATAATCATGGTCTAATATTATTTTAAATTTGTTTTTAAAATGGTAAAAATTTATTTTTTAATATAAAATATTTTACTATTTGATGAAATTATTTTTTAATAAGAAAGTAAATTATTAGACTTAGGAATTAAATAATAAAATGATTAATCTGAAACGTTAAGAGTATATTTCAAATTTAGATTATTAATAACATACATAAAAGACTAATTTCATTAAATAATCAGTCAAAGTTAAGTTGTGAATTTTGTCTTGTATGTTTTACTCTTATAATTAATTTAGGTTGATTTTCTTCAATTGTTTTGAATTTTTTAAAAATTAGATTTTCAATATTTATAATTAATTTACAATTTGAAACTAACTATTTATAACTATATTTATGCCTTTGCAAAGACCTATAAAATCTTTTACACATTTCGAAATTGCTTACTGGTTTCTATATTACTTTGAGAATTGTAATTCATTAATTGTAATATTATGTCTTAATAGATTTTTAAAGTATAATTAATACACATCGGTAATCTTAATAAAATTTAGTTATAATCTTAAACTAATTATTAATTGCTAAATTAAAATAACATTCGTTATAATTGTCATGACCTTTCAAAATTTAAATGACTTTTTTATTATTATTATTTATTTTTTTATCTTTTTAAATGGTTTTGAATTATTATATAATTTTAGTATAACTATAAATTTTATCATCTTTCAAACATTTGTGACCTTCACATTTTTTTTAATGGATTTGAAAATTGCATTTCATTAGCTATATTTAAAATTTCGTTCTAATTATCATTAAAAATTAAACTAAAAAATTTATAAATTTGTTTGCACATCTTTCGTATAGTATTATATCTTGTCTTTTCATATACACATCTGTGATGCTTAAATATCCAAAATATCTTTACACGACTGAAGACTTTTAAAATTTTCACCTCATTAATTATGATATAAATTATATCTTGAGATGCACATAACTTCTAAGCTTGTAGTAAATATACTTCTTATGGTTAATTTCTTTTGTGTATTTGAAATACAATTAATTGGCGCCAAGATTCCATTCTGAACTACTTTACTCTTCCAATGCTTTTGTTCTGTACAGAGTTTTTGGCTGGGATGGGTTGTTCGTTCATGGCCATTGTTTTGGGCTCTTTTCGTCAGCTTTATTCTTGGAACTGCTTATTCCATTGATGTGAGTGGGTTCCTTTAACTTATTAGTTATTTCTAGCTTTTTGATTCTTATCTACGATAAAGCCAAATCAAGCATGTTTATTTTGTCTGAACTGGCTATAGTTTCTACCTGCTGAAATCTTGATTTGATGTATTATCTTATGCTCCTAATGGGAAAGTTTAACCAGGAAAAGAGGTAAACCTCCAGCTTTGCATATACATCTTCGTGTCTCTTATGCCACATTTGGCTGAAGTTTTATGCTTACATACATTCTTGCTTAGTTCAACATCTTTGTAAACTAATCTTCACATGCAGTTATAAGCCTGGTTGCATCATGTTAAGCTTATATTTGAAAGAGATTTTCTTGTGAGAAAACAATAATAATTATCGTCCAGAGTCCAAATGGATTATCATTTATTATGTGAAATACTTCAAAAGGTTTCTCAAGGTCCCATCTTCCTACCCTTCTTGTTCGTCTTCAATAATTTTTCGTGGAATTAGTTTTGTTCTTCAATATTTGGTTTTTGGCTCTTGTAATATTTGAACATATCCTCTTTTTCTTTTGTTGTTTAGTTTTCTTTTCACTCTTTGAGAGTTTGTAAACATTTTCTATCTTATCTATCAACGAAAAGTTCGTTTGTGTTTAAAAAAAAAGTGATGCCTTCTACCATCACCTTCTGGTATGAATTTATAGGTGAAACAACAGCATCTCCCCAAAAGTCATTTGGCATCTTTTTGTTTTTTAACATACATCTAGTCATCTCCATGATTGTGCTGTTCTTTCTCTTAGCTACTATTTTGTCGAGTATTCATTTGAAGTCTATTGTTGATGAATACCATGCTCCTTGAAAAATCTATCAAAAACTACTCCCACGAAGCTGACCAAGCTGCTGTCCGAAAGAAAATAACCTCCAAAAACCATTTTCGGAAAGTGCAATAAATCCTTCTTTCACACAATTCAATGGAACTTCTCCTCATCAAGGCCTTTAACTTCCAAAGTGCATTTACGTAGTACTTTTTTCCAATCTCTCGTCCAAGACTTACAAAACCAACTTTTATAAACCTTCCCTTTAAAATTTCGTTGGTCAATTAAATTTGTTTTGGTTAATAAGTTTGGTCCATGATTTCATTCGTTTCAAAGAGTTTGTTATAGATCTCTAAGGCATCATTTGTTAATCATTTTGTTTTTGGTTTTTTATTTTTGAAAATTAAGCTTATAAAAACTACTTTCATTTATGGTTTTCTTGCTTTGTTACCTATTTTTAGAAATGTTTTCTGAAATCATATCAACTTTTGAAAACTAAAAGAAAATAGTTTTTAAAAATTTGATTTTGTTTTTTAAATTTGGTTTAAAATTCAATATGTTTCTAGGAAGGTGAAAACTTACTAAAGAATTGTAGCATCACAGACATAATTTTTAAAAACAAAATGGTTATCAAATGATGCCTAAAGTTTGTAGTTGTGTTTACTTAGGCTTTAGAAGTTTATGAGGTTTCTGAATTTTAAATTTTGTGTTTGATACGCTTTGGCCATTAACATTTAGTTCAACTTATGTGGCATGTAGCACATATTGAAGAATTATGCTTGGAGAAACTTTGCTACATAATTCTTGAACTATTAGCAAGTTGTGCAAGTATTAAAAGAATCACGTAAAATTGAAAGTTTGAGGATTTGTTAGAAATTATTGAAATTATGAGGACTAAACAGGCTTTACTTAACAAGTTAAAAGGACATATTTGGAACTTCTTTAAGTATGAGGACTAAATAGACACAAACTTGAAAATTTGGAGACAAAATTTATAGTCTAACACTTTTTAAAAAATGTTCATTGCATGTTGGCCTCAAATGACAAGATAATCATTTCTTAATTATCTGAACTGGACGATCCTTCAGATTCTCGCTAAAAAGGGATCTATTAGAGCTCTTTCAATTTAAGCAATAGTATATTTTTCTTGTTCATCATTCTAAAATTTCTTCCTCCTTAATTGTCCATTGATTCATATTGATGAAAACTAATATTATTGCGTGCATAGCTATATAATTGAATGAAAATTTGATTTTAGTGAAGAGATTGAACCCTTGATGGTTTTTAACTTTTCTGTTACTTCAGCTGCCACTATTGAGATGGAAGAGATTTGCTGTGGTAGCTGCTATGTGCATTCTAGCTGTTCGAGCAGTGATTGTGCAACTTGCTTTTTTTCTGCACATGCAGGTAAAAGTATCTCTTGTTTTAAGTAAATAATGAATCCTACAATCCATGCTCTAGTCATGTTGTGACTCGTTATGTGTGTTTCTTTGCACGGCAACATTGATTTTTCTAGATTGGAAACTGGGCCACTGATGAGGGCATAGACGTGGGTGAATACATATGTAGATATATAAATAAGATGGACACAGTGAAGACACAAAATCATGTTCACACTTCGATAAAAACCAGGGTTGACTAAAAGATGTTCCATATATTTTTTGTTTGGTGCACTTACATGCGATGAACTTACATGCTTAGGGTTGAAAGATGTTCCATATATTCTTTATTTGGTGCACTTACATGCGATGAACTTACATGCTCGGGGTTGAAAGATGTTCCATATATTCTTTGTTTGGTGCACTTACATGCTCAGGGTTGACTAATATGTATCGATGTTTTCCAGACTCACGTATTCCAAAGACCTCCCGTATTTTCACGATCCTTGATATTTGCAACTGCATTTATGAGTTTCTTCTCAGTGGTTATAGCATTATTTAAGGTAAAATTTCGCTTTCCATTACAAAATATGTAGTGACTTTCAAAAGTTTGTTTGTTCTCGATTCATACCTGAATAGAGCTTAATTGGTTAAGACATATTCTCGATCAAACAATTAGAGATTCAAATTTGTATTCCTACATTTTGTTCAACTCAAAAAAATATCTTTACACTGCATCTTGCTCGTTTTTATGACTTGTTAATTTACTTGAGTTTCTAGGATATTCCGGATATTGAAGGAGATAAGATATTTGGCATCCGTTCTTTTACAGTACGTCTAGGACAAGAGCGGGTTAGTGTTGAGTAATTCAATTTATTTATTTATTTTTTGTGTAAAGAACCTCCCATTTTGACACAAACGTGTATAAATCATATACCCTAACATGAGGATTACAATTCTGCAGGTGTTCTGGGGTTGTATTTCATTGCTTGAAGTAGCATATGGTGTTGCCGTTTTGGTGGGAGTTGCATCTTCCTCCCCGTGGAGCAAGTTGCTAACGGTAAATCTTTGGTTCCTTGAAACCCATACTCAGACTGCATAATCATAGTTCTATTAAAAGAAAAAGGAAACAGTTCTTAAAACTGGTCTGCATGAGTCCAAACCTACCTTGAATTTCTGCTATTTTTAATTTGATATACTTAGAACTGGAAAAGGGAAATTAAACAGAGATATTAATAAGTACAAACATTGCAGTGCTTTAGTTCATTGATGCTGTGTAAGTTGGAGAGTGTCAAATTTTCTTTTTCTTGAGGTATAAAAAACGCAAGAGAGTCCTAGTTAATGTGTGTTATCTTTTTTAAATTACGTAGTTCGTTTATATCGTGCCACGGTTGGTGTTAACTAATTCAAAAACTATCCAAGTCATCAAGTAAATCTCTTCAATTTTTTCCTTAAAGAAAAAGGACGTTTAATTGAAAGGATGTAATATTTAGGTGAACAGTGAACACTATCGAAAGCCAGAGCAGTTAGTAAAATCCCTCTTAGTTGCTAAAAGGACTACGTTTGGAGCTCCAAATTTGTAAAGGCAATTTTGTCCCATGCCCTATCGACATATATTGTTCACACTTTCCACAAAAGGGTTCTGCCCTTAAGCCACAGAAAAACAGGACAAGACAACCTTTGACAAGATAAGCAGCTCAAGGTACCAGCCTAACTACTAAAGAAGCTTCCTCCACAGTCCCTAAGTTAAAGGATAGGAAAAGAAAAGGTGGTCTGTTGATTATTGAGTTGCTCTTGCATAGGAAATAGGGTATAATAGCCCAAGCGCACCGCTAGCAGATATTGTCCTCTTTGAGCTTTCTCTTTCGGGCTTCTCCTCAAGGTTTTTAAAATGCGTCGGCTAGGGAGAGGTTTCCACACCTTTATAAAGAATGCTTCGTTCTCTTCTCCAACCGATGTGGGATCTCACAATCCACCCCCTTCGGGGCCTAGCGTCCTCGCTGGCACTCGTTCCCTTCTCCAACCGATGTGGGACCCCCCAATTCACCCTCCATCGGGGCCCAGCGTCTTTGTTGGTACACCGTCTCGTGTCCACCCCTCTTTGGGGCTCAGTGTCCTTACTGGCACATTGCCTGGTGACTGCCACTAATTAGTCCAGCAAGGTTCTTAAAACGTGTCTGCTAGAGAGAGGTTTCCACACTCTTATAAAAAGTGCTACGTTCTCCTCTTGAACCGAGGTGGGATCTCACATATGGGCTTGGTCGAAGCCCAATGAAGGATATTTGAATCGAGCTTTCTATGAAGTGTCACTCCTTCCAAATCCAAGGACCAAATAAAGAATTTAATTTTTTAAGACATGAATATGCAAATTGTTGAGCTAATTGATCCATGTACTTTCGTTGCTTCAAATTGGAAGTCCCTAGTTCATGGTTTCACTAATTACTCTCCTCCCGTAACCATTTTTTCTGCTACTAATTGGATTTTTTTAACCCTGGCTTAGATTTGGTGATCTCTAATCTTCCACCTTTCTTCAACTGTCTCCTATTAATTTAGTTTTTGTTTGCTGTCAAAGAAAGAGTAAGAAGTATCAAATTAATTAACCTATGATCTGTATACATTCTTTAGGTTTCGGGACACGTCATTTTGGCTTCAATTCTGTGGATTCATGCCAAATCAGTTGATCTGAAGAGCAAAGCTGCCATAACATCCTTCTACATGTTTATATGGAAGGTATGCTGTAGGAGTTTATGGTAAAGCTGCCATAAAATAGTTGCAACTTTACTTTCAATATTTCAATATGTTATTAATTTCAAGTTTAATTTCTAATAGTTGTCCACTTTTAACCCGAGAGTCCCATGAATTGGTCAACCTCCATGTTTGAGATTAAAGATGTCAGATGCTTACAATATTTTAAAATCAGGGTCTCTAATGAACTCATGACTTTCCCTTAAAATTCAGGGCCTTCACCAGTTGACCTATCCAAAATTCTGGGAAGAAAAAGCGTACTTGTTTGTTTTTAGTTTTCCATTTTTAACTTTATGTCAGTGATTAGGAACCTTCTTTGTTTAGCTTTCAAAATTGATTTTGAAACTGTGGCCGTTTTAGAACACTAAATAATTTTTAGTGACTAGTTTTTAGTTTCTGGATAGAAAGTAGGTCACAAAATAAAGAAAATCATTAGTTGGCAAGTGTAATTCTTAAGAACTTTTAGGCATAGCTCTAATTTGTCTTTAAATTTAAAAAAGTGTGTATTAGTGTTTTAAATTTTTAAGTTTTTGGAGGTGTTTAATACAATCTTACACTAGGTCCCAACTTCATATAAACTTTTTTACATTTAATAGGTCTTTAAATTTTTTTTGAAGATGTCAGGTGATTAAGATACAAAATTAAAAGTTTATGAACCTGTCAGACATTTTTTACTGTTTAAGAAGATGTTAAGGATCGATTAGCTACAAAATTTTACGTTTGGGGACCTATCAGACATTTTTACATTTTAAGAACCTATTATTCGCAAAATTGAAAGTTTAGGGTCCTTTCAGACTTTTTAAGTTTAAACCCTTCGATGTTTTCCTGCCTTGTTTGTCATTGTGGTAGTGTAGTCAATGGGCAATTTTTTTTTTTTCCCTTCTTTTGTAAGATGAGAAGCTGCCCCATTCCACCCTTCTAGCAACAATATAGCATTAGGATACAAAATATTAGAATAGTCAACCCATGAGTTTTGACGAGGCACATTTCATACAAGAAGTGATCCATTTAAGCATTCATTTATACCTAATAGCTTTCTTTCCTACACGTAGCGATTCTTCAGGTATCATTATCATCTTTAAGGTATTTATATTACAGCATTTCACTTGTTAGGATGAGATAAAACTGGATGGATAGTCGAAACAGGCATTGCTAAATGAAGTTTGGTTCACTTGGGGCCACTATTAGGACTTATAGTTTGTTGGAATGATATTTTAAGTGCTTTAAAAATTTTGAAGTCTAAAGAGAGTGTTTTCAAGCAGTTAAAAAGTTATTCCAAACCGACCTTTATATACGACTATGGTGGGGAGAAGAGAATATTCTCGTAGAAATGAGAGAATTTAATCTTCAATTCTCCGAAACAAACTATTAAAATGTAGATTAAGAAAGTATAGAACATATGGCATAGTTTATCATTGGCACCAATTTGGTATTTTATCTGTACGTGAATTCATGACTTGGTATGGTTCATTATTTTTTTAGTTTCACAATATATGGAGGTGGGATTCAAACTTTTGACCTCTTGATCGAGTGTATATATCTTAGTTAGTTGAGCTATACTCAAGTTAACTATAGTGTTCTTAATGTCTTAAAAGATGTCTCTCTTCGAGCATCTATGTCGAAGGTGTTACAAATTTATTCATTTTTATAATCGGAGTCCTTTCTTTTAGTTTTGTTCTAAAGGACATCTAAAACATTTCACTCTTTTTGACTGTGTATAATTTTGTTCTGATTTGCAGCTGTTTTATGCGGAGTATTTGCTGATACCATTTGTGAGGTGAGTGGATGAAGAAAAATGTGATTAGTTAGAGAGTCGGAGTGTATGATGGAAGTAGCCTTGTACAAAATTATAGATGGATATGATAGATAGTGACGTATTAATATGGTCGAGAAATTCAACCATATGCAACATGTTTCATGACTAGTAACACATATTTTTCATGGCTAAAATTTGAGCTCTACTTTTCGTTTTTGGGTAGAGTTAGATGTATAATATTTTCTACACACAATTCACACATGCATGTGTGAACCTACTTGTTGACAGGCTCGTTAACATACTTCTAGGCTTAACTATGGACTAATGCATGCTCTCAAAAACTCATGAAAGAGAAATGAGCGTGTATATTGTCGTGTATACATTTGTATATAATATACTGGAGAAGTAATCCATGCTCGTATTACATACAACATGCATGAGGTCTCACATCAAGAATCATGATTCAATGATACAAATAATACTTCCTTACTTATCATGACATCAATTTCCTATGAGACGTACATATATATTCGTGATATTCATTCTTGTCTATCATACATGGTACATCTCATAGTGTCTCCTAGAGTATAAGGTGATCATATTAACATATAAACATGAATCAACAATAGGAATTACATGCATCACAACAATTCACTAGAATATCATGTCATAAATAATAACACGTACATAGACGGTAGGTTAAGTGTTATTCAAACATCAATGAATTCATTAGGCTTTACTTTGGACTCCTAAGCTTCAAATTCACTTCCAATATTTGTTCCATAATGAAAATTGAGCTTTGGAGCCTATCCTCAAGCCAACCTCACTTAATTATCTTAAAATCAATTTTAAATCATACTAAACATTATAAATTGTCCAAACAATTGCTATATTAACCAATTTCTGGCCTAAATTGGGTAAAAAAAAATGCTTCCAAAATGGATAGAAATTATCAAGTCGAGCCAATCGAGCTAATTGACGTCAAACCGAGCTGAGAAAGCTGACTAAAGATTTTTCTTTTTCGATTCAACTATAACATAAATACTTCAAAAGTTAAACATAATAGATCTATTTTTAACAAACATGTAACCAAATACTTATCCACAAGAGTCGTGTAAATAATAAAATGCTTAAAAGAGTAAGTTAAAGTTACGACGGCCACTTACCGTTGTTTCATTTGAAAAGTAGAGGTACGTGTAAGCTAACTCGAACACATACATAAAATATATAAATTAAAATAACTTTAATGAAAAGAATTGAATAAAATACTTTTGAAAAAAGATGTTGGAACTAGATGCCAAACCCACCTTTACTCAACCCATTTTTGCTCACCATAAACATTGTATTTCCTTTCCTTTTCCCTTTGTCTTTTTTATTTAAAAAAGATAATATCCATATTCCTCAAAATTACAAAAATTCAAAAGTAAAATTAAAAAAAAAAAAAAAAAAATTCTCAGTCATAATGTTACCAAAGTCAAACTTATTCTTTTAAACGTGAATTTTATTTATATTTTTTAATTTCCGATTTTATTTCATTTTGATTTTGAATGCTCAAAGAAGTTGCGAGCGAGAAGATTAGAGGGAGAGAAGAAGAGACGGGAAAATATAAGGTAAGTAATTTTATTGTTTGAATGCTTTAGGGTAAGTTTGGATGATTGATTGATACATGCTAAACTACATGCTTTCCTGAAACGATAAATTATGATATGATTGATGTCGGGTATGCTACCAATGTATTTGATGAGAACGTTTATGCATGAATTTTTTTATGTTGCATAATGTTTAAGAACTAATGTTTTCAAGACGTTGGACTTCATGCATGTGTGTGCTCATTATATATGCTTTTTCTTTGATTTTATGCTCGTTAAAGGGTCCTAAATGCATGAACGTGAGATATACAGGATTAGTGTGTGTGAAAATGATGTGTATCTAACGATGCTGACCTAGTAGGTTTTGTGTGAAAGTGATACACATCTCGGATATAAACAAGGAATTGCAATCCAAAACGAGGTTTTAGGTCTCACTACAGCCATGATAGTCATGTTTGCATGTATATGCATTTTTCGATCCCAACAGTGAGTTTCACTTACTAAATATTCTTGATATTGAACTTTTTTCAATTTTTTTTTGTTGAAAAATATGAGTAAAGAAACGTGGTATTTACGGTAAAAGTATTAGTATTATTAATGAAACTTTTTAAACTCAATTGTACTTTTAAAATATTTTTTAAATAAAATATTAACGGTTTCACAGTTAGACAGTGATAAAATATTTTTTTACCTTTTTGAAAGTTTTATTTTTTAAGACTTTTAAAACGGTATATTTTTATTAATTTAGCCAATCAAATATTATCGGTTTCATTAATATTTTTTTTTGAACCTTTTAAAATTTAAAAGTATTTTTTTAGACAAGACAAAACAAAATAAAATAAAATAGAAATAAATAAAATAAAGAGGAAAACCTAACGATATTTCATTTTCCTTTCCCTCTCACGTGCGCAACGCCACCTTCTTTTTCTTCTTCGCGCCGTCGTGTTCTCCGTTTCAGCAGCTGAGTGTGCCCGCCTCATCTCTCCCGTCCAGCGCTACCGCCGCCGTCTTCTTTCTTCCGCTCGTGCCGCCGTCGTATTTATTCTGTTCGTGCCGCCGCGGCCTCCGTCCAACGGTATTGCACTGGTTTTCTACTCTCTCGGTGTTGCTATTGTTCTACCAATCTCCATCTGTGGCTTTCTTCTCATTTAAAAACAAATTAGGATTTGTTTATTGAATACGTTGTTTGATTTTTTTTTTCGTCTGAATAACAACAGCTGAAATGCAACGGAAATGAAATAATAATAACAAAAGAAACGGCTGGCAAATTGCGACTCAGTTTGTGTTGGCTGTACCGCCATTTTCTTTTAATTGTTGCATTATTGTTCGTCTCGTCTGTGCTGAAAGTTTCCATTGTTTCTACGACCATGAATTGAAAATTGAACCGAATTTGTATTGGATGTTTGTAGATTATAAATGGGAGAAGACAATGAGTTGTTTGAAAACTGAAATTCTCTCCAAATTAATCAGTTTAATAACCTTTACCAATGATACATTGAATTTATAAAAATGAGAATGGTTATATGCTTTGTATTTCATGTAATTCATTTAAAAGTTATAGGTAGGCCAACATGAGTATAGTATAGACAAAATTCAAGAGATTCACTCGAGAGGAAGAATTTTTTAGATTCAAAATCAAAAGTTTGAAGTCTTGTAGTTTGGAGACTTATGAATTGTGAAATAAATTTTTTTACTTTTATTTTTTTTGTCTTTTTTGGTTTATTTTTTTTGTCTTCTTAGATATATATATATATATATATATATATATATTTAAAATTCAATAATGTACGCAACACTAGATGAAAGTGGAGGTTTAAACTACCAACGTCAATATGATTCAATAGTAATTTCGAAAGTGAGTATAACTTAACGCTAATTGACATGTACCCCAAAAGGTCCTCCATCTCCAACGTTGTTGAACTAAAAACAAAAAAAAATTCATGTAGTAACGACATATACATTTTAGAGATTTTGATTGAGAGTTTATGTGTTTGAAAATTGTAATTGACGTTTACGCTTTCACTTTAGGTCGAATGGCGGGTTCGACTGAAGGGTTGGGTTCTGCTTCTGCAACTGTGGATGCAGTAGCCGATTCTGCTCCAGGTTCTGAAGAAACTATTAGCAAGAAGTAAGCATTCGGTGAATTTTTTACATTGTTATGTTTTAAGCTTTTGTGTGGAAATGGATGTTAACTTATTTAAGGCTAAGTTTAGTCTTAATAAGTAGAATTTTTCTGGGGTTCAATTTAATTGTCTTTCTATTTTTGTTTGAAATTCTATTACTAGTTGGATAGTTTTTAGTCGGAATGATGACTTCTGGAGTCTTGGGGTTGAACTTTGAAATGTTTTCAGTGCACGCAAGAAGGAATTAAAGCTGAAGCAGAAGGAAGAGGAAAGGAGGCGTAAGGAGGAACTCAAGGAGAAAGCAAAACAGGTACTAGATGTCCACCTAAAGATTTGAGCGTGTGTCTAATGCATTAATTAAGAACAGAGCATGGTGAATTAATTATTCACAGGAAATAGAAATCCATGTCGATTGAGATAACCAAATATGATATTTCCAGTTGGCAATCTGTTTAACGACAATGTTTATCTGAAAAGAAATGAGTTGTGAGATGGTTAGATATCTTGCTATAATGTTATTTTTAACTACCACGACCGAAAGTTATTTGTGACTGAAATGTACTTGTGATGTACCAGGAAGCATCGCAGAGTAAGAAATCTGTAGCAGTTGATGATGAAGAAATGGATCCCACGGTACAACTATAATGTTTTCTTTTTGACAAGTTCTGTTTAAGACCTTTAAGAACGGTTGTCAAGCTGATTTTTCTGCCTCAATTGTCTTGTTTTTCGCAGCAATATTTTGAAAATAGGCTGAAATATCTTGCATCTCAGAAGGCAGATGGTAAAAATCCATATCCTCACAAGTTTCAGGTTTCGATGTCTCTCCTCGAGTATATTGAGAAATATGGAATTTTAAACAATGGTGATCACCTTGAGGAAGTCTCGGAATCTCTTGCTGGTAATTGAACCAAAAACCATTTTCATGATTCTTTTTTGTTGATTTCCAAATATCTTTTTTTGATCTTTTTTTTATTTTGTACCATTCAAGGGAGGATAATGAGCAAACGATCCTCCTCCTCGAAGTTGTTATTTTATGATCTTCATGGTTCTGGAGCTAAAATCCAGGTTATGACTGATGCACGGTATGGAACCATTCTGTATCTGTCTGCACTATTTTAGTTATAGTTGTGAATATTATACTTTATGGTACTTTGGCCACTGTACTTGAACTCCAATTAATGGCTACATTTTTTATTTATATTAAAGAAAATTTTCAATGTTCTTTTTTAATTTCTGACCCTTTTTTCTTATTGAACTTCTTAGTAGCTTTTATTTTATTTTTTCTTAAAAACAATCTATTTCATCATATAAGCTATGCGTCTTTTCATGTCTCACTTTTCTTTCTCTGAGAGAATTTCCATTTTTCCACTTTCACGTATACAGTATTTTTTTTTTATGCTGTCAGTTCTTACCTGCACAATTTTGCTTCATTTATTTCACTTCTGTTTTTCATTTTCCATCAATCTCCATAAGAATCATAGATAGTAACAACCCCGTGCTTTTGCATTAATGATTTAAGGCTCATATAAGAATTTTGTTGGAGAATTTGGAATTACGTAGATCCTGGCAAAACCACCTATTATACCCTATCATTTATGTGTCTTGAAGTGCATGTGCATCAAAGCTGTTGTCATGTCTTATTTTGTGTTTTATTCTATTGAGACTTGGTTCCTATTTTTTTTTCCAATTCTATGCAAAGGCTATAACATTTCCATTTTAATGATGCAGTGTCTCAGAGCTCGATGAAGCTGAATTTGCAATGTTTCATGCCAGTGTGAAGCGTGGGGATATTGTTGGTGTCACTGGGTTTCCAGGTTGGGCTGCAAGAATTGTCTAGGCTCTTTCCCTTTACTAGTATTTTCCCTTTATTTTTCAGAAGTCTAGTCTATTGTGTTTGTTCCACAATTGTCCTTTTTCCTTTCTGGTCCTTCTGTGTGTTATCATGGTTTGATATATTCCTTGCATAGTTAAGGAAAGAGAGAGGAATTTGCAACATTGAGTTTTTATTCAGTTTTGTTTGATGTCCTTTGACTGAGCAAATTGGAGGAAATCCTTGACGGAGGAAAAAAGCCGAAGAAAAATGTTGGAAGAAGAAAATAACAGAAAAACACGAGAGAGAAGACGTATTGAGATTCTGCTGAAGACTGGTGATTGGTTTCTTATTAGAGGCATATTTAAACAACAAATCTACGCTAAAAATGGCCCAAGTGGCCAACTAAACCTGTGCCACTTTCCTGTAAACATGGCCAGCTAAAAATATGCAATCCCATTATACGTGTGTGTCAATTCAGATTACCTAAAAACAAGAATCAACTAACTAATTTTAAGGAAAACGTGAATAACCTGGATAAAGAAAAATGCAGGCTTTTATCTAACATTGTTTCAGTTGTAGTGGGTGTGCATGTTAAAACTGTTGTCCGTCGCATCCCCTGCGAGAAATCCTAATAGCAGGCCTTTTATAATTTAATGCCGCTGAAAAACCCATGACTTTGCATTTTCTTCCTTGAGCTCTTTTGTGTTTCTGTTACATGACATTTATCAACATGTTCCATTTTTGCAGGAAAAACAAAAAGGGGAGAACTCAGTATTTTTCCAAAATCATTCATTGTCCTATCTCACTGTCTGCATATGATGCCAAAGCAGAAGGCGGCTTCTGGTTCTGAGAATGCAAATTTGAAGGTAAATAAAACTAGTTTCTCTATCAAGGTTGTTTAGATGAGCCCTCATGTTCTCATGTTTGTGCAGAAAAATGACGCATGGGCCCCAGGTTGTACCAGGAATCCTGAAACCTATATTTTAAAGGATCAGGTATCTATTCCTTTTGTGCCTCACACTTTCTTTTGTATACTCACCGGATTATCTGTTTTCACTTTCTTGTCTAAAGGGCTACAAAAAAACCTCACCAATTGGTTGCCAGAAAGTATGCACATGCTAGTTTAGTTATTATGCCCACTAGTAATTGCTGTGTCTATGGACAAAGGAAAAATACTGGCATATCAGTTGAAGTAAAGATAGAAAACTTCATTCTAAGAAATAGAGTAAACTACAAGCAGAATTTGAGCTTTAGGTTGTTTGCGATGTGTGTCTAGCACATGGTGTCTTCTTTCTATATTCTTTGTACATCGTCAATCAAGTTTATATGTTAATAACAAAATACCCTTACTTCAAGAGGTTCCATTAAAATGCATTGTTTGTGTTCAACTTGTATTAGTCAAAGAACATCTTGATCTTCCTGATTCATGTATTATCTCCTGAACTAAGACTAATAGCTGGTTGACGCTATCTGTGTTCCTTGGTTTGCTGAATTTTCATCTCTGATTATCATTCCAAGACTATACTCTTGGAAATATTATGGTATAATATGCTCAATTTCCTTATTCCAGGAAACTCGTTATCGTCAACGATATCTGGATTTGATGTTAAATTTGGAAGTGAGGCAAATATTCAAAACCAGAGCTAAAGTAATCCAATATGTTAGGAAGTTTCTTGACGATCTTGACTTCTTGGAGGTATGTATACTATTGATCATTGCAATTTATGATTTTGGATGGAATGCACCTCACCTGTAATTTATTTCTCTATCTTTTTCTTAATGTCTTAACCCTTAGGTTGAGACACCAATGATGAACATGATTGCTGGAGGAGCAGCTGCCCGTCCATTTGTGACCTTCCACAATGATCTCAACATGAAATTGTTTATGCGTATTGCACCTGAACTTTATCTTAAGCAGTTAGTTGTTGGTGGATTGGACCGTGTATATGAGATAGGGAAACAATTTAGAAACGAGGGTATCGATTTGACTCATAATCCTGAGTTCACCACCTGCGAGTTCTACATGGCATTTGCAGACTACTATGATTTGATGGAACTCACTGAGAAAATGCTAAGTGGTAATGTTAAAACTTCGGACTTGAGCCCCTTTTTGTAGTTTGACTCCTCTGCTGTGAGTTTCTTTTAATTGTATCTTTTCATTTCTTCTCAATGAAAGTTTGGTGTATAATAAGAAGTGTTGAAACTACGGATGTTGCATGTTAACTCCTTCGAATTCTCCATCATCGCCTTTCACAGTTTCCATCTTTATCAACTTGTATCTGTACTCTGACACGGTTGCGTCTGAAATAGGAATGGTGAAGGAGCTTACAGGTGGCTATAAAGTAAAATATCATTCAAATGGGCTTGACAATGAATCGATTGAGATTGACTTCACTCCCCCTTTCAGGTCTGTTTGCAATAATTTGTTTAGCCCATGTATGAATTGAACTGTGCTGACCAGAATCTTATTTGGGATTATCTTGAATATGTTTAATGTACTGCAGGAGGATTGACATGATAGAGGAATTAGAAAAAATGGCAAATCTTAATATACCCAAGAACTTGGCCAGTGATGAAGCTAATAAATATCTAAGAGAGGCATGCCTGAAGTTTGAAATCAAATGTCCTCCACCTGAAACAACTGCTCGCTTGCTGGATAAAGTAATTCTCTTAATCATATTATCTTATCTTTAGAAACTAATCTTGTTTAGATAAGATATCATATTACATGAGGAACAGGAAATATACAGAAAGAGAAGATGAGTTGCGAACCTTACTTCTGGAAAATTTACACACACATTTTTTACAACAGTATTAAAGTAAATTTTTTGGCAGCTTGTGGGACATTTCCTAGAAGAAACGTGCGTGAATCCTGCTTTCATCATCAATCATCCCGAGATTATGAGTCCTTTGGCAAAGTGGCATAGAGCAAGACCTAGTCTAACTGAACGCTTTGAATTGTTCATCAACAAACATGAAGTAAGCTACCAAAACTCAACAATAATTAGTTTTCTGCTCATACTTGATCATACATGTGTCTGTATGTGTGCATGCCTTTGTGCTTCTGCTGTTAACATTTAATGGCTATTCAGGTATGTAATGCGTACACTGAATTGAATGATCCTGTTGTACAACGCCAGCGGTTTGCTGAACAACTCAAGGTATCCTGTAGTAAATACACAAATACAGTAGAGTTAAAACCCTAAAACATAAATGATGATTTGTGGAATGGATTGATGATTTATTGGGTTTTATATTACTTGATTTCTTTAACAGGATCGACAGTCGGGTGATGATGAAGCAATGGCTTTGGATGAAACATTTTGTACGTCTCTTGATTATGGATTGCCTCCTACTGGTGGCTGGGGAATGGGCATTGACCGGCTAGCTATGTTGTTAACGGATTCGCAGAACATCAAGGTTTGTGTTTCACCCCTGTTTTCTTCTGGTGATGCATACTCGTGAAATCTTTTTTTCTCATGCTGTTCTTTTTGTGAAAACAGGAGGTTCTTCTCTTCCCAGCCATGAAGCCTCAAGATGAACCACCAGCTCCCAAAGGTGCATACTATATAATTCCTTGTCTCTGGCTATTAACTTATTTTGGGTGTCATTACTGACAATGCCTTACCTATTTAGAAACAGAACCTGTTTAATTTTGTTATTTCGAAAACATCCCATTTTTGTTTCTTGATTTTCATAGTGCTCAGGCACAACTTTTATTTTGATTTTCAGGGGGAAAATGGATGGTTTGCTAATCCTAAAGTTGTTCAAAATGAACTTATTGTTTGTTTTTCGAGTACTAGACTGCATTTGCACCAAAGCCTGAAGAAGAGGATCTTAATCCCTCTTTTTGCGCTTTCTTACGAGAGCTTTTGATGGTAATGCCTTCCATTTATTTTCCTCCCTTTTTCAGCATCTGCAGGAGTATAGGGATTACAACATGAGGGAAAACCAAGAGGTGCGTTTGCCATCATGCATTTATTTTATTATGTTAAAAATTTTGGTCCACATTTTTCAGCTCCCCAGTGTCGAAGCATTTTTTTTTGGAGCTTATATGGTTATCTTTTATAAACTTATTTTGTGAATGCACAAGTGTCTAATTTGACGTCCCAAGTTCTTTCAAAATATTCATCTATGTACATTATTCTTATTATCTTTCTTACTATGCAATCCAACTTAGAAGAATGGAAGTAGAAACGTTGCGAATGAAGTGAGATATTGGGCTGAATTTCTGAACTCATTTGAGAAAGCTGGGCTGATTATATTCTTCTTTCATACGATTTGGATCAGAATTCTCTTTAACTCATGGTGGAAGGCTCTGAACTGAACATTATCTCCAAGATCTTCTCAACATGCATGCACAGTAATAACTCATGTATGGACAGAATTCACCCTGATAAGGCCGAGTGGTTTTTCTATTTAGAAGTGGTCATAAAAATTTAATGAACACCAGATATTAACCATGTAAATTAGTCCAGTTCAGTCATTCTACAACACTGAAAATCTCCAAGTTCTCTAGTTCAATATTTCACAAGAATGGAAAGAATTAAGGGTTCTAAAAAAATGGTTGACTTGGAACAAACTGAATCGACTGGGTTGGTCCGGTTATTCCCGAAACATTGACCATCTCGGTTTGTTTCTTTATTGAGAAATAACACGTGTGGAATATCTTACTCATGGTGTTGCAACATAAACTTAACTGTGGGTGTAATTCGATATACTTTTCCAAAGTTTTAGAGTTAAATCGATGAAATAGTAAGTTCATCGATTCTTTCTCAGGAAACAAAATGAATGGAGTAGGTGGAATAATGCCCACTTCTTTCTTCCCCTGATTAGACATCTCAGCATCTCCCTCTTAAGAAACTTCGTCGCTTTTTCAAAGGCTATTGTAGTTTGTCTTGGTCCCTCATCCCTCATTTTACCCTCTCATTTCGGCCCTCGGAGTACAGGTCGAGTTTTGATCATGGCCCAAGCTAGTATGCCCAAGATATTATTTGGGCTTAGGTCAAGGCCATTGGATCAAAGTTTGGATCATCAAGCTCATGCAAGTTTTGAGTTGGCCCAGACTAGTCCATCAAATATGGTGTAAATAGCAATACAAATTCCATTCTAAAAAAATGGTCAAGAAAAAATCTGAAATTTAGCCACTATGAAATTAGGAGTGGCTTTGCCTATAATTTTTCCATGTTTACCCCTCTGAAATCCTCAACCACACCCTAAATTTCAACCCTCGAATCTTGTTCACATATTTTGAATTTATCTTTTTTTCATTTCAATTCTCTTTTGTGATCTTATCTCACTTCCAGATGCATCTTTTTTGTGATCTTATCTCATTTCAAATATAGCCAGGACTCACATTTGAAGAAGTTAACATACAACTTATTGTCTCTTAGAGTTGTCAACAACCCTCTTAAGAATACTCCTCATGTTCCCCTTTGGACTTTGAGTAAACTAAAATATCGTCGATGAACACAATTGTAAACGGTTTTAGAACTCTTTGAGCACTTTACTCGAGCATTAGTCTGTCCAAAAAATGTTACTCTAAACTCGTAATGCCCATACCTGATTTAAAAATTTGTTTAAGGAACGTTGCGCTCCCTTGTCATCAATTAATGATAGTCTAATCGAAGGTTGATCTTAGAGAACATAACTTCCTCATCAAACAAGTCATCAATTTGCAACAAAGAGTATTTGTTTTCTGTAGTCACTGTATTTTGTTTCTGGTAGTCTATGCACAGGCAGATAGACTCCTCATTCTTCTTTACAAATAGAACACTTGGGCGTATGAAGCCCTTATGTAAGAGTTTTTGAATATGCAATTTCAACTCTTTGAGTTCTATTGAGACCACTTGTATAGATCCCTAAAGATAGGTTGTCCCTAGCTCAAGCTTAGTGTTAAACTTGACATATCGCTCTCTAAGGATCACCTCCATTCACAAACTCCCTCAAATCTTCTTGTGCTCTATCATTGATCAAACTTTGCCAACTAAAGGACAATGACATTGCTCTTAGGCATATGTGCTACTACAAACCCTCGAATGTCAGCTTTCAAGCCCATAACAAATTGTTTGACTTTCTTTGCCACTGTATCTACTAGTTCTATGCTAAAATGAGGCAAACTCTCTCGTACTCATTGACAATCCTGTTCTCCTGTTGGAGTTGCAGAATTGGTGTAATATATTCTTGAGAAATGTTTTCTTATACTATGTCCAAGTGATTGACCCGTTATTGACATTAATAGACCTTGAGCAAAACTGCCACCAAAGTCGTTCATCCTCACGTAACATAAAGGCTGCACATCCTACTTGGTGATCCTTTACAGCGGAATTTTTTCTATATCGCAAACAACCATAATTAAACTACTACCGAGTCTCGAGATAACCCTCCAAACAGTTTGAGGTCACACCCCTTAAAGTATCTCAGATACCTCCCCTCCTAAGTTGTGCCCCTGTATCTTGGGTTAACTAGGCTACCAGCCCAACAATAGCTACATGCACTAGAAATTGCAAAGCTCCTATAATCGTCGACATCCTCGAGATGTCTGGGTTCATGTTGGCAGGCTGCTCCTAAGATGGAGCCCCAACTGCTGGGTTTGGATTCAGGCTAGCAGGTTGATCCTGGGATGGAGCCTCGACTGTTGGGTTTGTCCTAGCCCTTGGAGGCCTACCTCGCTTCCCCTGCCTTCCTCTCCCTCGACTGCGTGGTCGCATGCTGATTTCTACAAGTTTTTAGGTTAGCTTCGTAGTTTGATATCTTATCTATGAAAGTACTATTTTTTTTTTTTTTTTAAGATTTCTTACCTTAGCTTGAAATTTTCACAAGTTTTTTTTTTAAAATATAAACATTATTTTAGATTTAATCTTGAAATTCAAATAAACGAAACAAAGTTACTGTGAGATTTTACAATGGTTGGAAAGGGGAACGAAATATTCCTTATAGGGGTGTGAAAAACCTCTCTTTAGTCAACATGTTTTAAAAACCTTGAGGGAAAGCCCGAATGGGAAAGCCTAAAGAGGACAATATCTGCTAGCCGTGGGCTTGGACTATTACAAATGGTATCAGAGCCAGACACCGGATGGTGTACTAGTGAGAACGCTAGCCCTCAGGAGGGTGAATTGTGAAGTCCCACTTTGGTTGGAGAGGGAAACAAAGTATTCATTATAAAGGTGTGGAAACCTCTCGGCCTTATAAATAGGGGTGGATTGTAAGATCCCACTTCAGACTTATAAATGTGTGAAAACCTTTCACTAGCAGACACGTTTTAAAAACCTTGAGGGGAAACTCGAAAAGGAAAGCTCAAAGAGGACAATATCTGCTAGCGGTGGACTTGAGCTATTACAAACGGTATCAGAGCCAGACACCGAATGGTGTGCTTGCAAGAACGTTGGCTCCTAAGGGATGGATTGTGAAATTCCACATCGGTTGGAGAGGGGAACAAAGTTTTTCTTATAAAACCCGGGGGGAGGGGGTGGATTGTGAGATCCCACATCGGCCTTATAAAGGTGTGAAAATCTCTCACTAGCAGACACGGTTTAAAACTTTGAGGGGAAGCCCAAAAGGAAAATCTCAAATAAGACAATATCAATATCTGCTAGCAATGGGCTTGTGCTATTACCGGTAAGATGTATAAACAGAAAACTAAATAAAATAAAAATCCAACATTTAATTTGACATGACACATAAATAACAATCAAATAAGATTTGAGTTTTTAGATACACTATCTCTATAACCAAATAGTATAGTGTTCTTATAAAACTTCTATTTCTTTCGGCTCATTGTTGTACTGCTGTTTGATCTTCATGGCTTATAGCTTTGTCGCTCATTCATTCCTCATGGCTATTCCAGTTTGTTTTGGTCGCGTTTTTTGTTGCTCTATTGTTCCTCACAGCCAACAATGCTTTTTTATAGCTCACATTCTTATGTCTTATTTCAGCCTCATTCAGATGGCTTGACTCTAAGGTTAGTACGCAAGGCCCAAGTTAGCATGAATAATAAGAGTGATAGTTGAAGCAAGCTTATGGACATCAAATATCTAGCCATATGAGAATGAGTTAAAGATGAGAAATTTTTCGTTCTCTTAAATGCTCTTGCATACGCTACGCTACTATTGGGTTTAGAAGGATAGAACACAATCTTTAAGTAATGTCAATAGTGTTCGTTCTCTCGTGATAGACATGCCATGTGAAATATTTGACTATTTGAGAGATTTTCGTAAATGGAAGTGATGTGAGTAAAGTGGGGTTGATGGAATGAAAATGTAATGACTCTTACTCAGGATTCGGAATCTAGATTCGACACTTGATGACCCTAGCATTCTCTTGCATCCCTAGTGATAGTCACGTTACTTACTCCTCGCTTCTAAGTGTGAAGACTGTCTCCGTAGACTAACACGAGTTCTTCTAGCATGTTTCGTCCTCTCTCACATGCATTGTACAAAAATTTCTAGGAGATCACCCAACATAGAACTGCTCAAAGCAAAGTATACTTACCTATGAAGTTCTTATGACTGAGACACCCGAAAAAGACATACTTTGTTGGTATAGTTTTAGGCATTTCTTAGCCATCATATCCTCAGGATCGTTCTCATTCGAACGTGGTCTCAGTTCATTCATATTCTCATCTTTAACTCTGGTATCACAGAAAACCATTTGGAAGATAAAAAGAAGTATAGAAACAAGTCCCAAAGGGACCTAAGATGAGGGTAAAGTTAACAAGAAGAAAAAACGAAGAGATTTCAACAAACTTCTAGCAAAACTGAAATGGTAAGGAAACTTAGAAGAACCGAGAATAAAGACTATATAAGCAAAGTCAAAGGAAGATAGATAAAGACGAGAAAACAAATGATTAAGTGGCTGTTTCTCCTCCGATTATCTTTCAAAATATAAATCATCGACCCATTTTCACTACAGAACCTCAAGAAACTAGAGAACGAGTCTCTCAAAGTAACCTTTCATCTTACTTATTGGGAAGAGAACCATTGTAAGCCACAAAGAATTGATTTTGGAAAGGGAATGGGCACACCCATTATGTAAGAAGGCCTCATTTCAATTTCAAATTATGTATATATGAAGCTCATAGTGTGATTGATAGGCATAAATAGAATCTCCCACCTCAAATGGGACCCTCCACCCTCTTTGGATGCCCTTCCCACTAGTAAACCCTAATGAGCTTTTCCACCCTACAAAACATGTAGCAAGGAATCTTGAATAATGACATTATATAAGTCAAAATCCCACTCAAATTCAATTGGTCCTTAAACTTTTAAAAATGTCAAATAAGCCCCTAAACTTTTAATTTTATCAGTGACTCGTTCAACATTTTCTAAAATTACCAACCTACTTCGCACGATATCAAGAATCTGTTCGAAAAATATTTTTACAGTGAGCTATTAGAACACAAAAAGTCGCCTAAGAACTTATTAGACTCCTTAAAGTTTGAGAATGAATCGACGAATCCATTTTTGAAGTTCGAATGTTTTACAATTAATACCCTACAAAGTTTTCGTTCCCGATAATCCTAAGCTATGAAAAGGTATTAAAAATGAATGAAGGTAAACGTTCTAAAAGATAAGAACAAATCTCTCACACGTGTTAAACCATTTTTTCCCTTTTTTTTTCCTTTTATCCATTTTAATTAATATAATATTATTATTTATTTTATTTTAATGATTTTAAAAAATCATTTAAAAAATAGAAGAAAGAAATCAATTTGATTTTGGTTTCTGTTGACGCCATGTTTCTTAATTATTTATCAATTTTTCATATGGTAATTAATAAATTATTGTTCTATTTTCTTGTGCAAGTAGGAGAGGAATTACAATTAATTTTTTTATTTTTTATTTTTGGTTAGTTATAATAATTAAAATTCTAAAATAATGTTCGAGCAAGAAAAGATGTCAATCACAAATGGAACTCTAAATTAATAATAGTCTACGTTAATATCAAAACGCTCGTATCATGTAAAGGTGTACCCTTTTCTTTTTACTTTTTTTTTTCTATATTAGTTCCATAATGATATGTTCGACGACCTATTGGTCAAAGGAAATTTGGATGTCGGGACTGGGTCATATGAGACGAGAGCAAAGATACACTTATGAAAGTTTTTACAAGCAAACTTCACTATAAATTGATTTTTTTTTTGCACATTTTTTAATGCTATCCAAAAAAAAAAAAACATAAAACAAAAGTCAAAGGTCAAAAGGAATTAAGTCATAAAAATAACACTCAAATTTCAACAAAAGCAACTCTCAAGTTGATGAATTATGGAAGTAAATTTCAAATTAAAAAAGAAAAGAAAAGAAATATTGTCTGCTCCATTGCAAAAATGAGGTTATTAACTTATAAGAATGGCTCCTTTTCTTCGGATCTGTAACGCTACGGCCCACCGCTAGTAGATATTGTCTTTTTTGAGCTTTTTTTTTTCGAGTTTTCCCTTAAAGTTTTTAAAACTCGTTTACTAGAGAAATGTTTCCACACTCGTGTGAAGGGTGTTTAACAATCCACCCCCTTCAAGGCCCAGCGTCTTTCTTAGCACTCGTTCCTTTCTCCAATCGATGTGGGACCCCTACCAAATCCATCTCCCTTCAGGGCCCAGCGTCCTTACTGGCACGCCACCTCGTGTCTACCCCCTTCAGGGAACAACCTCCTCACTGTCACATCATCCGGTATTTGACTCTAATACCATTTGTAACGACTCAGGCCCACTGCTAGCAAATATTGTCCTCTTTGGGCTTTCCCTCTCAGGCTTCCCCTCAATGTTTTCCATGCCCCAACCAATATGGGGTCTAACAAAATCACTGGACGTTATGCCAACAAGGACATTAGCCCCTAAGAAGGGTGAATTCAGATTGTAAGATCCCACATTGGTTGGAGAAAGAAACAAAACAATTTTTATAAGAGTGGAAATCTCTCCCCTAACAAACGCGTTTTAAAATCATGAGATTGACGGTGATACGAAACAGACCCAGACGAACAATATCTATTAGTGATAAATTTGAGTTAAACAACTAACAAATGAATTTACCCTTTCAAACAACGGGACGAGTCAATTTTGTTAACCCACTTACCCATTTATCAAAAGCAAATCAAAATTGAACTTGAATTCCACCAATGACTTCCAAACATGACGATCTTCAACCCTTTTGGTATCAATTTCTTTGCACATTTTCGCATTTGTTTATGTTCCTCTCCTTTTTTTTTTTTTTTTTGCCTTATTCAAATTGTTATATCATTAAAGTAATGAATTTAAGGTATTGATTAGGTCACCATACGTTTGTTTTTTTGCCCAAATGAATCTCATGGCTTTGCCGTAGACGCTTTATTCACTACCAATATTGCATCATCCCTCAATTCGTTGTTTTCCTCAATTAGGCGTTACCTGAGTATATGTGATGTATCGTCATATTTAAATACGGATTATTAATGAATAAAATTGACCTAATTTTTGTACCTAATTTCATCTCGTGTTTTCTTTTTTCGCTTTTGTTAGGTGGAAGATCAAATAGATCTGGGTTTATGTTACAAAGGGAACGTGATTCGTTTTCACGTGTTTTTTTAAATTCTAATGCTTTATTTCGGAAAGATTTTATATTTTGTTTTATTAATACTTTTGACCCATTTGAAAAAAAAATAAAACTTATAAATTATTATTATTAGTATATATTTAAAAAAAGGGCAAATACGAAAAAACTTATTTTTAATTATCTTACTTTTTAATATTGTAAAGATAAAAATAAATTAGATAAATCATAAAAGAATTATGTTGAAAAAGAATTTATAATTTTTATTATTAATAACTAAAATATTTTTAAATTTAATTATTTCATCAGTCAATTATATATTCAATTATAGCACCGACAATTTCAACTAATTAAATAAATATTAAAAAAAAACAAATGATAATGCGGTGGAATATTGTAAATGACGAGTAATTAATTAATTAATTGTTGTAATAAATAAATAAATAAATAAATAAAATTTAAAACAAAAATAAATTGTGAATTTATGTTTGAAAGGGTAGTAATGACTTTTGCACATCGCATTGAAAGCTTCCAAGCTGTAAGTTGTGAAGTGGGAAATCTTATCACATGCCTTTGATAATCATTATGATGATCCTCTCTACCATTCTAGTCAATATTGCCCCAATTTCTTTATATATATATATATATATAAATGATAAACGGATAAGGATTTGGTATCTGATATTCCCGACATTCTCGTGACATCTTCTTCGACATAGTTACGTTACTTGTTGTTTCTAAGAGTGAAAGTTTTATCTCTACAGACCAACACGAGTTCTTCCAACATGTTTTGTTATCACTCGGTAAAAATTCTGAGAAAGTCACCCAACGTAGAATTGCTCAAAGCAGAACGTGCTTAATCGTGAAAAAAGGGGCACATTGTTGGTATAGGTTAGTGACTTTCAATTCTTTTAAATTTTTCTTAATCATTCTATCTTCAAGATTGCTCTCGTTTGAATGTGGTTTCGGTTCATTCATGTACTTGTAAATTAACGTTTTTCAAACAGAATCTGACAAGAGATGTAAAGTTATATACTTATGAAAGATTAAGGTTTAAATTTGTAACGGCCCCAAAGAGGGTAGATTGGGTGGGGGTCCCACATTGATAGGAGAAAGTAACGAGTTCCCGCGAGCACGTTGGGCCTCGAAGAGAGGTGGATTGTAAGAATCTCACATTGGTTGGAGAGGAGAACAAAACACCTTTATAAAGTGTGGAAACCTTTTTCTAGAAGACGCGTTTTAAAAACCTTGAGCGAAAGCTCGAAAAGCCCAAAGAGGACAATATCTGCTAGCAGCGGGCTCGGGTCTTTTTTTTTTTTTTTTGGTCAAAGATGCATTTATTTATTTATTAAAAGGGTAGGCATGTTATTGAGAAGCATTTAGTTATTATATATTAAAATAAAGAAAAAAGTGTGTTAATAATTGAAGATTGCCAACTCAAAGTGGTGGAGTGTGTTGTGTGGGTTTGAAATCAATGCAAAATGAAGAACAAACTTCTTCACATGCTTTTGTGTCAATATTCC